GTTGACGCGATTTACTGGCAGACTGTAAAATTATTTTGTAAATTGTCTCCAATGTTAAACTGAATGAAGGCATTTTAGATTCAATCTGATTCGTAGGGTATATTACATGGTTGAGTTACTTGTAACTAATAACTGGTGTTGTAGATCATTACGAATAGTTTGTATTTTCTCAGCAAAGAATTCTGCGAAGTGATGTGCAATTACTTTAGTATTTGTATGAGATGGTGACGTTTTCTTGGGTAACAAATTTGTTGATGGTGTTAAATATGATTTTCCCATTCGTTATATTCTCGGTAACCATACACAAAAACTGTGCTAAATGTTTTTCCTTCATTTATTTTTTTTAAGGATAATTTGTTTCCACTGTGTGAATTATTTTTCCTGAGATTTAGACGTGCTGAATGTTTTGTCTGGCTATTGATCCCTACAGAATGTTTTCTTCTTGATTTGTTTCTGGCAAAATTTGTTTTCCAATTCTGCCATCGCCCAGAGTTTCTAATTGTGCGCTCAACATGTTGATGTTTACACATTTTTTGTAATGTAAATTATTGCGAACAATCAACTCAATAACATTTGTTTGTTAGTAATAAAATTCAAATCAAAATACTATAAATATTAAAAACAAACAGGTCTTACATATCAGTGTACTAACTGTGCAGCCTGCGTTCGGTCATGCAGATACGTATAATACACAGGTTCCGATAGCTTTGTTCATAACACTTACCAGTGGCGGATCCAACAAAATGTATTGGGGGGGGGGGGCAAGCTTCGCTTAAGATATACGAAGCGAAAATCGCAGAGAAGCTATGCGTAATCCAGATGATATGAATAGTCATGCGTTGGGGGGGGGGTGGCCCCCTGGATCCGCCACTGACACTTACGCATTTGAACAGGCAAATGCGTTATTTTCTTTTCGATTCCATACGTAAGCAAATAATTTCCCACGAGGAACATAAAACGCGTTAAAAATAATGTGTAACTATATTTCATGTCGATTTATAAGGCCATATTCCAAAATAATCAGATGCAAAGGAAACACCAGGAATGCAAATATATGTAATAAAATCTATCTCCTTCATTAGCGTATATGTGACCTATAACACAGACAGTTAGTGTGATGTGTGAAGGTCACTTTCTCTATAGCTTATAACCAGATAGTGATTGTCTTTATTCAAAACGTTTTTTTCTCTCTCAAATAATGTCCCAGACTGGTTGTCCTCGTCACGAGCTGCTGGTTCATTGTTTTATTTTTTCCCATTCCCATCACATCATCCTCTTTCTGTGAGGTTTAGAGCTTGTCATGACTCTTTTCACAATTTTGTCGGCACAGTATTTCAAAGAATCATAATAAAGTGATGAAAAGTCCCAAATTCGCCAAAAAGCTACAAATGACAATGAGTACAAGTAGAGTTACATCTCACAACTCATACACTTCAAATGAAGTGGAATTGGTCGGTTGAATTATTTCATTTATATCTAAGGTTTAAAGTTTGTTAATTATTATTTAAAACTAAGGAATTCTATTCGACCATCCCCATTGTGATAAGAATGAGAGCTGGACCTTATTTATATGGGTAAATATATTAGTATTGTAGACAAAGACTATCTGTAACCGATAATATTTTGAAACAAAGTAGATAATCAGTTATTCTAATTATTCCAACATTCAGAGCAATTTCAATAAAAATCTCAAAATCTCAAAAGGTTTCTAGCGGATAGACCAGCATTACTTTCGCACCCATCCACCACAATGTTGTAGGTCGCCAACCCTATCCACCAATTCACGTCTCCGTCCGGTCGGGCTGCTAACTTCAAATACTAGTATAAAACATATCATTGTTATAGTAGCGATGAAACAAATCAACGCCGCAGCCAATGCCACGATCATTTTATTGCATATTTACAAAAATAATATTTCTAGTAATACATGAACAAGTACATGAAAAAATAAATTACGCAATTTTATTTCGTGTTGTGAAACACCTGTTTACTAAACTTTTGATCATTTCATCATCTCTAATTTAAGTAGATATAAAGGTTATGCATTTAGCACGGATTGTAATATTTTTTGTTGGTCTAAATGATATTTAGGGAAAGTAAAAAGTGTAATTCATCTTCAATATCATTTAGCGTGCAGCATCTTTAGCTGGGCATGTCTTCCTTTCTCAGTTGCTAAATTGTGGTTACTTATTCTAAATTTAGACATAATAATTCTTTAATTGGTATTTAATGTAGCAAGGTAAGTTTGCAAACTGTATTTGTTCTTGTATACAGTCTCAACTTTGAATTTTCTTTTTTTATATTTTGTCTCCAGAAATTTATATAGTTTTGTGTTAATTTTATATAAATTTCTTTAGTATTTGTGTATTGAATTGCACGGAAAAGTTTTGCAAAGTTGCTCTGCAGACAGTTTATATTGCCGGGTAACATTCATAAACATATGTATAAACATTTCGCGTTTATCATACAGCAGGATTTACGCCCGAGATGTTCGACGTTCGAGCAATGCACAATGTTGACTTATAGATTATATTCTCCCAGAGTTCTGTGCGCGAAGTTCTGAAGGTTACAACGTCGAGTGCGAAGCAGAGGACGAGGTAACATTGGAAGTCATGTTACGAATTCAAAGGTTTTCTCACGTTCTATCCACATTGAACAGAATCTCTGCATATTGCTTTCTCAAACATAGACAGGTAGATGATATAAATAGCCTTGCATGTATGCATACACTGCATATGACGTGAACGAACTCTAGGCTCTGACTGGTGTTATAGGCTATAGGATAAGTAGGTCATAAACAGGTCATTTTACTGAACTGTTAACTGGGTTAACGTCCTTTACATGAAAAAGCGTCCCCTTAAACTATAACCGATTCAGTTTATAAGTCAGAGTTCAATCTGGAGTACAAACACGTACAACATAAGCATGTGAGCTGATCTGTGATTACTATAATCATCTGTCCGTATAGATATGCATATATGAACCCCGGGAGATAGGGATAGGAAGATATACATCATAGACTAACAGACAGTTTTAGGTTTAGATCTGTGTATATTAATTATCTAATTCATGTAATAATGAATGTTTGAATTAAATTTGGTATATTGTGCAAATCTGTGTATATTTATAGTATATGATTATTTGAAAAGCATGCCTATATGCACTTTTACAGATTTTTGAAACCCTCAATTGGAGTATGAAAAGTTCAATAATAAATATAAATTTATTTGCTTCTTGTTTCAGATGAAATTCTGTACAATGTATCCACATTATTATGAAACAAGTAGATTATTTTTAATTGTTATTGTTGAGACCATGATGCTATAGTACTTCTCGTCAGTGTTGTAGTGTTCAATAAATTATGTATTATTGATTTACTAGGTTTTGTGCAAATGAATCATGGCTGGTCACACACTATAAATAATGGAATTTTAGAAAGTTCTTTGACCTAGTCAATCATGGATTACTTCTTTAACAGCTTAAAAATTTACAAATGTTATAGTAAATCGCTTAAATGTTTTGATTCATATTAAATCAAAAGTTGTTCAGCTTCAGGGGACAATTTCTGAACCCCAGGTAATATCTACTGGTGCTCCACAAGGAAGCACACTTGGTTCACTTTTGTTTCATTTTATTCAATGATTTGCCTTTGCATGTTAATAATGTCATTGGAATGTATGCTGACCACTACAGCTATTGAATATTCAAAAAAAAAAATGTATAGACCGGACCTTGGTTAAGTTGCAACAATGTAGATTGTTCTTTTTATTTGAAATGTTGGCCAAGGGTTGTGTTAGAACCTACATTAAACACAAAGGTAGAGCTTCTAACATCTTAGCTTTCTAGGGTTTGGTTAGTTCATCAACTTTATTCCTTCAGTAGTGTTGAATAGTGCTGTGTATCTAAAGTTTCACGTTTTATCCTGATCCTTCACAACAAAGCCATTTACAATTACCAAGTACTTATAAATATTTCATTTTTTCAGTCTTTGCCTCCAGTTCTTTCAGCGAAAAAAAAAGAAGAAATTCTAGGCTTTGGTTGATCTCACAAATAAATCATTTTAATTTCAGGAAAAGTTTGCCCGACAGTGTTACAGTTGTAATGTACTTGCAGTACTACCAGCCTGGAAAGACAAGTTCAATGCTAAATTAGAAGACATTGATCCAGCTTTGAAAGAACAGTTCAAGATATATGGAGCAGTTACTCCACTAATCACAAAAAATACAACACAGCAGCAACTCGACTTGGACAAGTATACAAAGCAATGTGAAGAAATAATTACCACGAAGGACATCAGTATTATTCTTTCGTTTCGTGACGTTTCTTCACTCGTAAGTGCAGCTTTGATTGACAAATTCCCACACATAAAAGGGGCTCATTTAGAACCAACCTTTTTGTCATACAATAAGTACCTGACAAGGAAATATTTAGATCCAGATCCGGATCCCATAAAATATGCATATTTAGATGTAGAAAATATTTGCATTGAGAAGCTAGATAAGATCCTAGACTACTTGGGACGACCTGCATTTATTAAGCCAACCACTGGAACTGCATCATTTGGGGTTGCCAAGGTGATGACGACATCAGACATTCTTAAACAATTGGACATCTACAAACAAGCACAAGATGTAAAATTGCAAACCTTTTTGAACAACCGATTGGATTATGTAAAATACCCTGAAGCTTTGCAGAATGGTGCTATTATAGAAGAGTTTATCAGTCCAGTAGCTACTGTTGGTATAGATGGATGTATTCTGAACGGTGACATTCTACAATGGCCAATACATGATATTGTGTATTGGCAAAGCAAACCTCACTGCATTAAGGGTTTTGTATTGCCAAGTAACTTAGATGAAAATATACTACAGAAAGTGAAAACACACTATAAAAACGTGGCGTCCAGAATGATGAATATGGTTACAACAACTCGTTCTTAGCTGTTGAGTTTTTTATCCTAGCAGATGGTTCCTGTAAGTTGATGGAGATAAATGCCCGGATGTTTTCACCATTACTACAGATCTATCGACAATGTTTACAGAATGGTGATCCTGTGGAGGCACTATTGAATATGGGGAGTAATATGCCAGTGAAATCGCCAGAGTTTAAAGGTAGCTATGGGATGAACAGTATGATCACAACATATACATCTGGTAGAGCAGATGAACTGTTGGACTACAATGAAGTAAACCAAGTAAAAGAGATTCGACCGCTATATGCATCAACTGATAATGTACCATTGCCTAATGGAGATCAAGGAACGATGTTAGCTATAGCTGATATTACAGCTGAATCATATCAAGGTATTAAATAATCACTTGATCAATATTCAAGTTACAGGTTCAGTTCTTGTTATAAATATTTAACAATGGCTTGTATTGTGCCAAGCATGTTGATTCTGTATTGTAGGAATCCATGATACCTTTGAAACTTGATTAAATGTAAAAAACTTTTCATTCAAACATAATGAAGTTTAGCAAATATAATTTATATAACAACTTGGTATCATTACCCAGTATTTTGTAAGTTATATCTCAGTTACAACATACCGGTACATGTACCCCGTATGTCTATTCCACTTGCAAGAAGAAAAAAAACAAGGAAAACTGGCTCACAAACAATATATGGTTTTTTTTCAGGTGTGTTAGATAAATATGAAGAGATATGTGGTAGAGTTGTGAAGATGCCCCAATGGAGCCCCAGTTTTTGATTACTATTCCTGTCAGTGTGATACACAGCAGTGTCAATGATTTAAGGAATACAATATGCACAGAATGAACTTGTACTTAATATTTTATTACATTTGTGATCTATAACATTAATATCGAATCACACACAAGATTATGTACATGGATTTCAATGAACATTTTAAAATTAAATATGATGTGATTTAAAATTCATTTTCATGGATGAGAGATTATAAACTATGTATGTCATCACACCAACACTGTTTTTCTCTTCTATATCAGTCTTCAATCAGGAATTTTACTGCAATTAAAAAATTTAAAACATAATTTTCATTGAACATGTCTGGTAGGTTATTGATTGTATCTGACAGTGAAACAAAATAATTGGCATCATAGACTGATGATGATGTCCAATCGGCTATCTAAAATTTAATTTAATTGTCATATCAATAATGTGCGTATGAGTGACATGATGTACATTAAAGTTTGAACATGACCGATCAAGGCATGTTGGAGATATGGCAAGATCTGGTTTTGAAATTGCAGAAAGATTTCGATGAATTTTAACATTAAAATGGCTTGTGCCCATGTGTCTATGATGTATGCTGTATGAGTAGTTTGAACATGATTGATCAGTATGGGCTTGTCTAAGACATGGATCCAGAAGTGCATTCATTAAAACAAAATGGGTGTAAAATTTTGAATGTATTCTGAAAAAACAAAACTTGTACATTTATGACCAAGATCCGCTTCTGGAATGGCTGAAATGTTTGATTTTGATATATTTTTTAGCTTTAAAATACCCACTATTTGGTAATCTTGAATTAGATCATGAAATGAATGAATGTATTCCAATATGCACGATGTATGTGTAAAGTTTGAATGCAATTGGTTCAGGGATGTCTAAGATACAGGTGGACACGGACGGAAAGACAGACAGACAGATGGATGAACTGATGGAGGTCAATCCCTGTTTCTAGACTCTGAAGAACAGGGACCTAAGTCACAATTATTGCTTAACTTTACAATGGGCAACAATCATTTCAACCAGATGTTATACTTAAGTTGGGTACATTATGATTTTTACTATTAATACAGCACACCAGTACTTCATGTTTTCACCTAGCTTGTTTCAGTTTTTACATTTTAAGGAAGTTTTAGAAAAGTATCTACTGTCAAATTTAATTTGAAGGAAACGTGAAAAAGTCATATCCACATTGCAGAGCATTACACATTATTATACTATACCAGGCAAATATGAGCAGTTATTTATCAATCACAACAAATAATGTGAGAAAAGAAAGAATAATTACCTGTCTTCAACTTGCTTACTAGATGGGTAATAAACTTTGAATCCAAAGTCACTGCGTGGAAATGAACCCTACATAAAACAAAGTATATCCTATCAATAAAAAGCTATGAGTGCTCCATTATACCATAAGGTAAAAATATCATGTTAATTTTAGCAGGTAAATACATTATTTGTATTTCTGTTACTATATTTCTATTTTGGGGGACTACCTTACATGGCTGTGTAACAATTTTTCTCGACTCAACATGAATTTGTTGAATGATCTGCTGTTGTAACAAAGCATGAAAGAAAACTGTAAATCAAGTGTTTGTTCACATTTGAGGAGGCAATGTTTTCATGAAGTCCTAGGCCAAATATCTACCAATTTACCTGCATAATACCCATGGTGAAGGGGTACTTTGGCCTGCTACATTCTATATCTGGTTTCCTGCTAAAAATGTTAAAAGAAACCCCAGTGGGTAAGATGTGTGATTCTTGTAATCTGCATTAAATGTTCAAACTGCAGAATACAGAGCTACATACCGTGTTTGTACAAATGCAGTTAACACTGTTGACAGTGAATGCTTCATATTTATCAGCAAATACAATAAGATCTGGCAGTGGGTAGATCCTCAATGCATTGTCATAAGCCCAGTATATTGGTGATACATGCAGTGGTAGTGGACATAGATGACCTTGTGATATCACTGTCTTAGCAAACTACAATACAAAAATATAAAAATCAAAGAAAGCTTAGAAAGAACTCCCACGTGCTGAGGAAATAGGGATCATGAAAATGATAAACAAATTATGAATAATCTATTAAATAATAATAATAATAGTTTATTACACAACTGTAATCTGCTGTGGATACAGTAAAGTAAAAAAAAAATACTGTAAAATAAAGCAACTGAAAATAACTACAAAAATAGTAAAAAATAATGTAAACAAGTCATTGAAAATGAAACAGTCCCCGTTAAATTTTTGAAAGTTCTCTTCGTGCTCGTCATATTAAAGCGGAGGGGTTGTCGCGAGCGTGTCCTTGAAACTTGAGTTTCCAAGTGGCGTATACAACAGATTGTTTATTTACATCAAAACACGTGTTCCTTGTAGTAGTAATATGGCCAAAAATAAAAACAGCCGTTATTCGGCCATTTTTGATCTGATTATGAAACACACTGATATGTATGATGTATGTGCCAAATACGAATGAAAATGGTACATAAATTGTGGAAATATAGTAGTAAGGCCAAAAAGTCAGATGGCTGTCAATCGGCCATCCTTGACCAGATTTTGAAACAAATTGTCATGGACATGCATCCTAACATGTATAAAGTACATGTATGTGCCAAATTTGAATGAAAACTGACAGAGCACGTCCAAGATACCACATAAAAAAACAAAAACAAGATGCTAGCCAGTCGACTATCTTTGATCCAATTGCGAAATAAATCGTCATGGACATGTATCATAACATGTGTAATCTAAGTACCAAGTTTGAATGACAACTGACAAAGCATGTCCAAAATACAACATTTTCAAAAAACAAGATGGCTGCCAGTCAGCCATTTTAAATCAAATCGCTGAACCACTGCATGTGCATATGTCCCACATAAGGTACTAGACACATGCAAAAAATGAACGGAATCGGTCCACAGGATTCTAAAATACAACTCTGGACAGACTGACGCACGGACGGACAGACAGACAGACTCAGGAACTCACGAACGGTCAGGGACATGTATCCTAACATGTATGATCTATGTACTAAATTTGAATGAAAACTGACAAAGCATGTCCAAAACACAACATTTTAAAAACAAGATGGCTGCCAGTCGACCATCTTTGATCCAATTGTGAAATAAATCGTCATGGACATGTATAATCTATGTACCAAGTTTGAATGAAAACTGGCAAAGCATGTCTAAATTACAACATTTTCAAAAAACAAGATGGCTGCTAGTCGGCCATTTTAAATCGAATCGCTAAACCACTGCATGTGCATATGTCCCACATAAAGTACTAGGCACATGCTAAATATAAACAGAATCGGTCCGAGGGATTCTAAGATATGAGGCCAGACGGACTCATGGACGCACGGACGGAGACCGAATTATAAGTCCCCGTTTTCGGACTTTGTCCAAACAGGGACTAATAAGGAGCCACCTTATCCAAGAGCAACTGTAACCCCCAACGCGTCTCATTTGTTACTGCGTATAAATTGACACTATCTGGGGCACGTCGCACACGACGAGTACCAACCAACCAACCAAAAACTAATCAACTTTGCTCTGCGCCTTGCCCCAGACAAGCTATATACCAAGTTTCATTAAAATCCAAACAGTGGTTCTTGAGATATCGAATGGAAAAGACACACACACAGACAGACACACTAACTGCAAAGACTCCCTTTTTGTGCTTCGCACACAGGAGTCAACAATAACTTGATTTAGTTCACAATATATAACTCATATTATGAACATGTAGTATTAATAATAAGAAATGATCACTAAATCAAAATACAAAAGTACATTACTAGAAATACTAACACAAATGAGTAAGTGTGTGAAGTTATGCTACAAGTATATATAGCAGTAGAGAACTTACATGAGCTGGTATCTCTGAACTGGCAGATGGAAATCTAACACAATTTCTACACATCTTGTTGACTATGTCCTCTTTGAAAACTACAATTTCCTGAGTGCAGTACTGAATTCGACATGGATTTGTGGCAAAAATAGATGTTGGAACTTTTTTTCTGAATTCTTCAGTGATACACTCTGATAAAGGTGGCCTACAAGTAACAGAATGCTAAAACTATTGGGTTTGAAAAAACACATTTATGAATGTACTATTCACAACAACTACATTTCACAAAGCTGATGTGACTGTCTGGGTCAGGGTCACGTGTGGATATGACTGGATCCAGGATCATGTGTGGATATGACTGGGTACAGGATCATGTGATATGACCAGGTACATGATCATGTGAGGATATGACTGGGAACAGAATCATGTGAATATGACTGGGTATAGGATCATATAGATATGACTGGGTAAAGGATCTTGTGTTGATATGACCGGGTACAGGATCATGTGTGGATATGACCGGGAACAGAATCATGTGGATATGACTGGGTACAGGATCATTTAGATATGACTGGGTACAGGATCACGTAGATATGACTGGGTACAGGATCACGTGTAGATATGACTGGGTACAGGATCATGTGTGGATATGACTGGGTACAGGATCATGTGGATTTGACTGGGTACAGGAGCATGTGGATATGACTGGGTACAGAATCATGTGAATATGACTGGGTACAGGATCATGTGGATATGACTGGGTACAGAATCATGTGTGGATATGACCGGGAACAGAATCATGTGTGGATATGACTGGGTACAGAATCATGTGTGGATATGACCGGGAACAGAATCATGTGTGGATATGTCTGGGTACAGCACAGGATCATGTGTGGATATGACTGGGTACAGCATTATGTGGATATGACTGGATACAGGATCATGTGTGGATATGACTGGGTACAGCATTATGTGGATATGACTGGATACAGGATCATGTGTGGATATGACTGGATACAGGATCATGTGTGGATATGACTGGATACAGGATCATGTGTGGATATGACTGGGTACAGCATTATGTGGATATGACTGGATACAGGATCATGTGTGGATATGACTGGGTACAGGATCATGTGGATATGAATTGGTACAGGGTCCTGAGTGGATACGAGTGTGTCCAGGATCATGTGGATAGGACTTGGGTTCAGAATTATATGGTTATAGTAAAGGACACTCACCTGGGCAGTATATGACCGGGTCCAGGGTCCTGTGGACCGGGTACAAACACAAATTTACTCTCCTTGACAAGGGTAGGAAATTCAGTAAGTATAACAGACAGCTCATGCAATGAATCTAAAATAAAAGTAAACATACCAGTAACGTTATTCACTGATATCTAAATTTATGCTCGTTATGTGTGAGATTATAATTTCATAGGTATAATAACAATCTGCTTTAGTGAATCCTTAATTCCATACCTTTAAGTGCTTTGATATGATGGCTACCATAAGGGGCTGATGAAAAATTTCCACAGAAAACAAATGCAGTTGGTGGCACATCAGCAAATCCACTGAACAATGCTTGTAGTTTTTGACGTACTTGCAGCTGATCTAACCAGACATCTGATAAAAATACAAATATTGCATCCTCATTGTCCTTTTCTATAGTTTTTAATTTTTGAGATGTTTTAACTGATGTAGCTGAGGGTCCACCAAAAAAATTAATAGAACCAAAGTAAGACCTGCAACGAAGGTTTATTTGGACAAATTAAATACTGCTTTTAAGGTTCTTTTTGAGATTAAGGCATTTTGTAAGATTTGCAAGCTATAATTTAAAATACTTTATTTTCACTTGGGATTAATTCTCTCTATTTTCACTGAAGGAATGATTCAGTGAAAATGAAATCCAGCGAATATACCTTTATTCCTATATTTTACATTTAACTCATCAAAAATTAGTGAAAATAAATTCCATACAAAACAACTAAAAGTCTTTTCAGGAAAAATTAATTCCAGCTAAAATAAAGTATTTTACAGTACTTATGAATTGAAGATCATAGATCATATATTCATAGGTGTGTATATCTAGATATATATGTACGTATATCTGTGAATTACCAGTAAATATAATTGTAAGTATATATGCAAGTGTATATTACACTTATAAACATACTTGATTGTTTTCATTTGAAATAAATCTTGTTGAAATCAAATCAATGTTGCTGGCTGGCCTTCATTCTCATGAAGCGCTCACATGTCAAAAAGCGGCCTATGACAATTTGTGATTGTGAATGCCATAATCTACTGTCTGTGACATCACTGTACATGTTAATACACTGTGTAACTGTTTGAGCAGTGTGCCCTCTAAACCGATATGACACGTCACTGATGCACAACAAATTTGATAGTTGGCCTAATACACTAAAACTCGTACATTGATATAGTGATGACAAAAAACATCTTTTTATCATGTGCGTTTGACAAGCGAATAACTCACTTGTTTGCAAAGTGCAAAATTCAACTTACATTCATCGTAAGCAAATGTTTTCTCTTTATTTTAGCTGGAATTAATTTTTTACTGAAAAGACTTTTTGAGTGGTTATTTATTTTCACTGAATTTTGGTAAGTAGAATGTAAAATATGGGTAAAAATTTGCTTCCTTTTTATTTTCACTGAATCATTCCTTCAGTGAAAATAGCGAGAATTAATTATTTTCAAGTCAACATAAAGTATTTTACAGTAAAGATTACATGTCAAATGGTTAAAATAAGACAGGAAACAATTTTACATTGCTGCTATACTGAAAAAGATTGTATGCATCAACAAATAGAATTTAGAGAATTTTTATACAGGTACCTTGTTGTATCAGCTGGTTCTGGAGGTGGAAATCCAAAAGCATTGATATGGAACACTTCATCTTCATACCATCCTTCAGCAAGTACAAAACAGTTCTCAGTAAACAAACCAGAGTGGAAATCTGCTTGTGATAAATCTAACTGTACAGCGCCAGTTGGGTCTTCTAGGAAATATTTGCCCTCTTTCAGTTGTGTTAACATACCAAGTACAATGATTTCACCAAGTTTGGATGTACTTCCTAATAAAAACTCCACAGGTTTCAACTGAAATAGCATACATTGCAATATATATTTATATGTCCAACTTAATATCTTATGCAAGTTACTCCTTCTCTATTTCTTGTCTTATCATCCTCTCTAATTTGTGATTTCCAAAGATTGGTGTTATTTTCTTCAATTTGTTTTGTAAAACTTCTTAATTGGTTTCTGGTTCAAGTGACAAATTTAAGCTTATTTTTTATGATCAGTATGTATGCAAAATAACGATTTGTGTAATGTGCTCTAAGACACAATGTGATCAAAGAGAGTTATGTTTTGTTAGTTGATTGAGGGTGCTACCACTGGCAGACCTCTAGGTCAGAAAGCCTGATAAGGGCTATATTACCAATAGTGCCCTGGGTAAACAAAATTAACAATTGGTAGAAATGTGTTTTTAATTTTTCTCCCATACTCTTTGTTTTTACATTTTATTTAAGTTAAGAAATGGTGAGTCTAAATTGGTCATACATGGTGATATCATGGCAATCGTCATTGCGACAATTTTAAAAACAATGTACTTCGCCATTGTAGTAAATGTAATACTGTATTTATCTGAGTAAGAGCCCATGCCTAGGCAAACGCCCATCCCCTAATTTTGATGGTCATGTCAGGGTGTACTCCCAGGTGGTCTTTGTCTGCACTTGTAATAAAAAAAATAACAAAAACCTATTTTTTGTTTCGTTGTATTAACAACTTCCTTGCAGTCTGTTGTAATCCTAATAAAAAATGCTCAAAAAATAGTTGTCAATTGTGTAAAACGAGGGGTGATCGCAAAATAGCTGTGACAGCAAGATAGGTAATTTCGCGCTCTGCCTTCAGGGCAGCACGTTCGCCACTGTTTACATAATTTACATTTATTTTTCAGGATGTTTTAAAACAGAAACGGGAGTTCTTTATTTTGATACATGTCATGGCCCTGAAAAGAGCAGGCCGTTTTGTTTGTGCTTCCTTAGAAAAGATTCAAGCAAATCTTACAGTATATGGAGAGCCGCAAAGCAAGTGTCGCACTTGTTCGGCTTTAGCGTCATAGACAATGAAACCAATTGTAGCAACCCGTACCTGGGAGAGTGGTTGAAATCACGTTGTTTTGGCTTTATAATATATTTGTTAGCAGCTTGCGAATCCATAACTGGGGCCAGTAATTTTGCAATGTTACGCTGAAGACGGCCAATTTTTTTACCATCTTTCATTGCAGCTATTGCATTTCTGTCATGAAAATTATTCTTCCGTCGTTGGAGAAATAAAACATTCATAAGACATTCCAACCACCGGGATTTGCTGAATGATAACTTTGACCATGATTAATGAGCGTCTAGTCTGATAAGAAAGCAATGTTGACTTGACCTCGAAGATGAAACACTAGTAGTGATGTCATTCTTAGCCAATCAGGAAAGCAGATGCTTAAAGGTCAAAGATGATTGACAGAAGGTAAACAAAAGCATTGTGTGCCATTACAGCAAAGTCGTTTCCCACAATCCCATTTTTCTTGTATCTTTATTGTGATTAGACATGAATTAAAAATGCCAAGCTGACAGTCAGCGAAATCCATGGATTAAATTGTGTGTATCGAAATCGACAAACCTTAGGACAAAGCAGTAGGGATTTTTTTACAAATAGAGATCTGGGAGATTATGAACTTTCGCATTTCCTTATATGGTAGGCTGAAAATACTCTGTAAAATACCGCAAAATTAAGACATGCTGTAACTTATCGCGTTACAGTAATAGATGTATAATAACAGTAATTCATACCCCAATAATTATCTGCTTACTATACACACAAATTGTACAATTATCACAAGACAGTGAACCATGTATCTTTTCCTATGGTTAAGCTAGAAATTCTATTTTGTTACAGTTACAGTACTAGAACACCCATAGTTAGGTTTGAACTTGTAACTCCAACATTAAAAACTTTGTACTTGTCAAAAATATTCATCATCCACCTTCAAAAAGCTATGACGACAATCAAAACAAAGCCAAAATATTGTGTACACATTATACCAACACAATAAAATACAAAAAAAAAAAAAAAACTCTATAAAATTAAATTGTAATAATTTATAAAAATCTACCAGTGTTCCAGTATCCTAACAATGTCCATCAATTGAAACCAATGAATGCCATAAACACATGGAAATATCTTACCTGAAATTTCTTTCCTTTTTGTTCTTGAGGTGCGCCAGTTACTGGTGCAGTGAATAAATTATGTCTGGATGTTCTTTGGTGTAATATATTATATCTTTCACGAAAAATAGCAGTTTTAGAGTCTGCATTTCCATGGAGACTAGGAACAGATGTACTTCTTCAAAAAAAAAGAACAGAAAGTGATGTCAATTAACTTTCAGATTCTAATGTAATTGGTTACTAGTAACAGATACATTTACGATGCCAGGAATGTTCACATGGTTAGTTAATTTGAAGACTTTCAGTAACATAGTCACTGCCAAAACATTTGGTGATTTTTCTAAATTCACAAATATGACCACTTTACTGTTGATATTATTTTTACTCTTTGTTTCACCAAAGTCACATGTATACACTTATTTTGGAATACCTAAAGATGTGCTTTAATTTATTTAAATAACATTTAGACAAATATGGCAGATGAAAACTTTTCAACTAATCACAACTGTGAATCTGATTTCACTGGAGCGGATGAATATAATTTAAAATATACTTTTCATATAGATGTAGTTTTATGCATTCAGCTCAAGTCGCTGCACATAGAAGGCACATTTGAATTTTAATCTATGTTTATAAATTATTAAAAACAACATCCATAGTCAATCAAAAATAGCATTTTTTTACTAAAAATTAAAAAAATTGAATTAACAGTTTATAACTTGACAAACTAATCAGTACAGTGAAGGGCATATAAATTAAAATGGATGTTAGAATTCAAACTGAAGAATCCAAAAATGGTACTGCAACATCATCGTTAGTTCTAATCAATATTAACGAGTTAGTTCAACATTGTCCAATCAGCAAGCGCACCATTTTGAATAAGTGAGCAATCATATCGGTAGTTGCTATGTCAGGTGAAGAAATGTGCACATTGTGGGCAAAGACAATGTTTACATGCAGCTCTTTAGCTCTTGAATGAAAGCTGATGATCAGTACCAGTATTTACATTTTTTTTTATAAATGCATTCATCATAAGCTAAAGTACAGTTTTATGCCCTTTACTGTATTCAGTCAAACTACAGTTGTAAAAGTCAACTTACTTTACAAATTTCTTTCTTGCATAATTATATACAAAATGTGGTGCATTAAATACATTAATAACATTGAATATTTGGTCTGTATCCTCTTCACTATCTGCATTGCATTCATGAATTGCTTTCTCTATCGTTGACTGATCAATCATCGGTGACAGCACTAAAAGAAAAGAGATATAAATAAAAATACTTTAAAATTGAGTATTTTTAATGTTATATATTGCAGCAAATATATGTAAATGTATATGTATACTCACATTGTTGCTTTTGTACAGCTTCAATAAGCCTATCGATCCAATCATATCGCTCTGTGTCATCAACTGTCATCAGGGCTTCTACTAGAAATTTACTAGCATCACTGAAAATGAAAGCATTGGTATACTCATTGTGAATAGAATTTAACAGCTAAAGAACCAGGTCAAAACATTACAATGTATTGAATTACTCACAACATCAAATATCAAATTTATTCATGATCTTTATTTTACTTTATGGAAACAAGTAATTCAAAGATGAAAACAATAGACTAAAAACCGGGCATTTTCTGAAGGATCGCCCCCTGGGTGTGTGTGAATTGTCTCGATATTACCTGCATGTGGGACATCTAGATACAGTCATGAATCTTGCTAATTCTAAAGACTGTGAACGACAATGTTTCTTTACTACATATTTACCCATCATCCGCCTGCACGGTGTTGTCTCGTTTGGACATTCCTCCCTCTACAACACCATGCGGTAATTTTATTCATAACCGTGTATGTCACATGGTTGCGCGTTAGAAAGTTTACGACCAACAGAAAGCTTTGTTACAATGACTGTCAGAAAGCACTTGGAGCTTTGCATTTCTGATGTCTTCGGCTTCATTTCTGCCGATATATGTTGCAGTGACATCATGAGCTTTGAGATATAACACCTACTCTTCTATAATACTCAACAGTGGTGACAACACTATTACCATGCTCGATGGTCGCAAGGCCGGTAAAGCATAATAACATAAGGATTTACTATTTCCAGTGCGACTAAAAACACATCAGACTTGGCACTAAGTATAGTTTGAATAGCTTTGGTCTAAATATCAGTGAGTTGCATGATGTATGGATATCGTTGCTGTATTGCCTCGACATCCAAGTCAACACAGCTTCCACTGTGCGTAACAACATTTATTCTCGGGTCAGGCATTTTCACCGCTTGGCAACCATCATGGTGAAAACAAAGGCCAATAAATTCTCAGAAAACGGTATTTTGGGATGGTTGTTGATACCCCCCTGAACAGTGTAACAAGATTACCCCTACATACACAACATATTTAAATTTGGTTGTTTAGGATTTCTTCAATGATAAGTTTGTGCTGTTTTCTCGATTTTAGCTATTTTCACTGGCTTTTCGACAATTATTAAAAATGTTGAACTGTCTTGAATAAACAAAAATTTATTCACTGCCATTATTTCACTTAAAAATACTGTAAAATACTTTATTTTCGCTTGGAAATAATTTTCGCTGAAGGAATGATTCAGTGAAAATAAAATCCAGTGAATGTGCCATTTTGCCTATATTTTACAAAATAAGTGAAAATAAACTCTATACAAAACACCCAAAAGCGAAAATTAAATTCAGCTAAAATAAAGTATTTAACAGTAATTCAAAGAGGAAATAAAATGGACTAAAAAACCTTATAGGGTAATTTATATTTTAGTTACAGATCAATATAAATCTGTTTACTGCATGCTGATATTTTTATTCTGAAGTAATAAATCATAAACTGTATTAACCAATCAATATTAAAATACGAAAACAAACGGGACTGTTTACATTTTCCTAGTTTGCTACAAGCACGTCCAGGCTTGTCCAATGGAATGGTTTCCGATCCCGTGTTAAGGTCGACAGGGAGTATGCAATCGATACAAAATTATATAAAATAAAATATTAAAATAATGCATTTTTAAGCTAAAGTTGTAATAAACATTATTATTGAAATTGTTTTTTATATTCTATTAATTTTCTGAATACGACATAAAATCGGTTACATCGCAACAACTAAACATTTTAACAGCACATGAACAGAGAATACGGTGAACTGTTTATTATAATAGAGAAGCTCACCTTTTTAGCGATAACCCATTCATTTTGAAAGCAGAGACGACCTCCGACTTCAGTTTAGTCGCCATCTTGGAGTTCCCGCCAAACTTTGAAGTTCAATCAAACGAGTTCTCTTTGACAGCGACACCAGCGTTGAGAGTTGTAAATGTTTTTGTTTTTACCTGGTTTGGCTTCCTTCCACATACCATCCGGTTCTATTTAAAACGCCAGGTACAATAAACTACTTTCCAAAATTGCTAACACGTGATATCCGCATGGAAGAATCAACTTATTAACTATATTGTTGAACCATTATTGTGGAGAAATGTTTGTTTCACAAAGAACTGCTGATATAATTTCCATAGTATAAGTATAATTCTGATTACATGTAAAGAGCAGTGGTCGTCGCGACAAGTTCTGTTCGATATGAGACTTATAGCAACGTATTCAACGCGTTATAAAATACATTGTTTACATAAAAACATGTGCTGGTGGTGTAAAATATCTTTATTGATAGGGTGGGTGTTCATTAACCTATTTTTTTATTTTATTTATAAATTAATTTCTTTATATATTTTTTTCTACTAAGGCCAGACTTTTATTATCCCTTGTTTCGCGAACCCGCCAAATGAACAGGAGCCGAAAATGAAATAAAATTATTATTTTTATCTTCATTTTTTTACCGCCCGCCGCATAACAAATCCAAGTTGCATTTTCGTGGCAGTATCATGATCAAAGTATCGAAGTCTCGTGCAGATGAGAAACAAGGTTATACATGGAATAAAATTTTATTTCATTTCTCCTCTCCGATCTCACTTACAATTCTTTGAGAATCACACAAATCTGATGGAAAAAAAGAATTAATTTTATTTTTTTTTCGCCCTCCTCAAAAAAATTGCCTTATAAAAACTCGCGAAACAAGGAATAAAAAAAGTCTGGCCTAATCATTAATTACTATTAGTATTCTTCTTTTTTCTTGAGGGAGTAATGAGACAAACACAATGAATACTCTAAGCAATTAAAGATTAGTAGAAAAAAAATTATTTAAAAAAAAACTAAAAAAAAATAAATAAAAATAGTAATTTACTAAAAACTTTTTTTCTGGTTCCAAAATTTCTAGCAAGTAATTTTTAAAATATATTTGTCTGTAAAAAAATATTTTGGTGGAATAATTTATTGTTTTTATGATTTTTGTATTGTAAAGAACATTTTGCTTTGAAAATGATTTAAACTGACCCAAATTTTGGAAAGAGACGTCTATTTTTGAATGGTGTACGCTAGTTTCACCTTCCATCATTGTCTCACAATCATGTTTGTACGACTAATAATCACACAAGTAGGTAATAAATTGTAACAATATACATGATGTTCCTTTCTTTCATTTTTCCTTGATTTCTATGTTTCTCAGATTATAACTTTAATTTTTAAAACATTATTCTCTGTGCTGATGGTTCAGCATCAGATGGTCAACCTTATATAAATGGTTTTTGTTTATCACTATTATATTTTTTTCAATTTCAAAGTCCAGTAGGGTCACCGAGAATCGCCTACAATAAATAAAGTTATTCACCAGGGGTGCTAATATTGTGTATTGACTCAAAGAGCACACAAACCATACTGAATCATTTAAAGCACGAATAGTTTTTGATCATTGAAACACCTTGTATGCATTAATAGAGCATGTGTAACGTTTTTTCCCAAAGTGATGCTAGTTTTCTGGCCTTTTATTAAATGAATTCATGTGATATTGACATCTGAGTTTTTGCAAACTAAAGTCATAGCACTGTGTACTACAAAAATGTACAAAAAAGCACTGTGTACTACAAAAATGTACAAATGTACAAGAATCGTACAAATGTACAAGAATCAAACAAAGCTCTTAAGGCCTGCTTCAAAATGAATCAGCTATTATTTTCGGCAACTTGTACACCACTTAGAATTCATTTGAAGATGTTTGATGCAGTAGTTAGACCAATTCTCTTATACTGCACTGAAATATGGTCTAGTGATATTATTGCCCACACAAAACAGCTTTGGAATTTGACAACACCCATGGAAAAACTCCATACCAAATTCTGCAAGTTTTTATTAAAGGTGAACAGCAGAGCCTCAAACTTGCCATGTTTAATTGAATTAGGGAGGTACAATTGTTAAAATATTGGATGAGGGTTCAGGAAATGCCTGAAAATACATTAGTATATGAAGCATACAAGCTTGGTATTAAGATGCATGATTCTGGTACTAAAAACTGGGTATCTGGTGTGAAAAAGATTTTGGAAAACCTAAATTTAAGTAATATCTGGAAAGATGGGCAAATTAAATACAGCAATGCTACTATTGAAGACATTACAAAAAAACAAATTGAGAACATACAGAGAAATAAAAACTGATTTTTCTTTTGAAAAATATCTCCAAATAATTAAAAATCCACTATATTGTGCTGCAATGACTAAACTTAGAATAAGTGCCCACCGTTTACAGATTGAATCAGGCAGATACAAAAACATCTCCATCTCTGATAGAATATGCCCTGTTTGTGATCTTGGAGAAATTGAAGATGTGAAACATTTCCTTTTCACGTGTCAGCTATATGATAAAGAGAGAACCAGCCTTTTTACTAAACATAAAATGTATGGAGAGACATTAATAAACATATTAAATAATAAAAACGATCACATAATTAAAGACGTTTCAAAACACGATTATACTTGCTTTATGCTTAGGGAGCAAAAAATCAAACAATAACTTCAGTACCAGCTGTCTCAAAAAAAACCCCACAAAACACAGATTTACATTTATTTACATTATATTACAATTATTCATTTATCTCTTATTGTGAGATATGTATTTATTTCATTCATTTATAGTATTTTTAGTATTTCCTTTTATTTTCATTTTTTTTTATTATTACATGTTTTTGACTTTATTGTACTTTATGTCAAGATCTCAAATGGGATACGATAGCAATAAAGAATTACTTACTGTTTACTTATCAAACATAATTACAGTGAAGACAACAATACTTTTATTTCCTGTTTATTGATTATCGATGACATCTGAAAATGTATGAATTACCACTTCAAATATATGCAGTCTTGGTCAGTAGATTGTAAAAATTGATTCATTGATCTAGCTTTCAAATAAAACAATTGAAGATTGTGATTTCCCCCCCAAATGGTATATTATCACTCAATCATTTTTAATTGTAAAATTTTTTTAAATCGAGGTTAATTCCCCAACATTAATATTTAAATAGGCACAATTTCAATCAGTGAAAAGTTATGTGTCTATCAATTTAAAATATGACAAGTATTCTAATTGAATACTGTCAGTTATACAAATAGATTATGTACATGCTAAAATCATGTATAATGCTCCATGCACATTAAGCATTCACATGTACATGCTTAGAATCAGGGAAACGTAATCTATTGAAATACTGCATTGGAGTAATCCAGCATCATGATTAGTTTTGGGTTAAAAACTATGAATATTAATGACATAACTTCCTAAATCAACAAATTTTTAGCTGTTCTACAGATATTTCTAGTGCTACTTATCAAATTTCAATGAAACTTTGTAGATCAATGTGCTTGGATGATGCAGATAATTCTGTTGAATATGCCTTTCTTTTTTTAATAAACATGTATGATTTAACTTTTCTGGAATGCATTCTGTGTGAGTGATGTACGTGTAGTTTACCCCAAATTGTGAGTATTGGAACGAGTGCATATATTTTTAAAATGAATGCTTTTTACATAATGGAAATTTTATGTATTGTTTTCAGTCTTACATATAATAATTCACATGTATCACACAAAGTGTTCTACAGTATCTCCAATTTAATTTGTGTGCGTTCTGGAAATCAAACACTTTCTCTTTATTTTATATGTTATATTTTTACTCTTTTTTTTTTTTGTAGGATTTTATTTGGTTACCTGAAGTAAACAAGTCAGCTAACGCTTATTATGAACAGCTTTTAAAGGTATATCATTGAATATGGCTTCTGTGACAAAAATGCACTATGTTTAATCACTAGCACTTTGCAATTTGTACGTGAAAAAAAGCAGCGACATTTGATGACTGGGAACTGTTGCCTGCCTCAAAAACATTTAGAAAAAACTAAAAAATGTATGTCATTGATGTAGCCTTGACCTTTCTCCATATCATAGATGAAAGAAATTAGGCATTCAAGTGGAAAATGTCCGTCTTGTCCATGTCATCTGCGTTGAAAACTTTTTTGTTGTGGTTACAATTGATCAAATCGTTTTTATCTGATCTTTTTCAACTTTGAATATTTTATTACACAGTTTGGAATCTCAGCCAAGTTTGATTTCTCTAGATGTTAAAAATGTATATTTCTCTAGATATTAAAATTGCCTTCTCTTTCAGTTTATATCTTAACATTTTTAAACTTAGAAATCTTATCAATCACAATAAGATCTCAACTAGCATGCATAATTTTTAAGATATTGGTTAAAATTGGACTAAAAAAAACATTTGTTTAATAAATGTTTTCATTTGATGCACTTATTTTTATTGTTAGAAATAAGAGCTTAGAATGAAAGAATTTATTGGTGAATATGAAAACCAGATGTTAGTAATTTCCCCCAAAAAACCTTTATTAGATACTTCTGTAACCCAATATGTTATTTTCATTATTTTATATATTAAATCATTTCAATATGCTAACACCCCAGGGATTTTATTAAACAAGGAAACAGGGGTGCAGCGCTCTCATGCCATGGCCATGCACCCCCTTACCCTGGAGCAGATCCTCTGTCAACCATAAAATTCTGATTGACCAGGGATCACATGTGGCCACAGTCTTCAACTGTGACCTGTCTGATAGTAATTTTGGCCCCAAGGAAGCCATAGAATGCTCCATTTTAACTTAGAATTATAAAAAACTCCACACCCTGGTAGGGAGAACCCTATCTCTCCCACTTGGTGGCACCGCTGAATTGCAGTGCTCCCTCTTGCAGTAAACTTAAATAATCTTTCCTTTCCTTGCTTTGATATTAGATACAGCGTCTTCCAGATATTTTGATACATGGATCAGCTAGTTGGGCGATAAAACAAAACAGTGGAAGTCCTGAAGCTTTAGAGCAATTTAAAGGTGAGAATTACTCTGAGTTACCGAGCTCTATAACAGAAAGCAAGGATTGAAAGTATTCAAAGTTAATTAAAAGTTTGCAGTATAATAATTTGTGAAACTGGTTCAACATTTTATGAAATTATTTACGAAGATTAAATTTGTTTTCTTTGCCTTATGAATACGTACATACATGTATATACCCGTAAAATCTCTAATTTAGGCGTCATTTTTTGTATCTTTCAATCTTTCCTGACGCCTATTCAAAAGTGCATGATGCATTTTGTGCCTGGTGTGAATGGGTAAATTTTGTTTCTACAGTGAGTTGTTAACACCATGAAAAGTATTAAATTCTTCTTCAATACTCAGATTATCTTTCAAAAACTACTAATTTCTTGATCAATGGCAAAAGATTGTACTACAACATTGGTAAATCTCTTCTGTGTTGCATTTCCTATGAGGTCGCTGAATTTTCATTAACATTTTGAAATGAGCTATCATGGTAATTCAAACACGTTGGCACCATCCAGCATTCAAATTGGTTGATTAGTAATTTGACCTATGAGGTCACAGTTTCAGGTCCACTCATCACATCAAACACTTGTGTGTGACTAAAAACAATGGTTTTTGATGAAACGATCATCATTGTTATATAACATTACAACAAATTTATTTTTTCTACGCTATAATCCCAATCAATTAATGTAAAAAGAAACTGAAGATGCCTGTTTTTTTTTTTTTTGGGTGGGGGGATGGTTTTCGCAATATTTAATTTTTTGAATACATTTTCTTATTATTAGTCAATTTATCAAGTCTGCTTCCAATTATGGACAAGGTGGCTGAGAAGACAAATTTGTTTTGGATGACTCAACGTAAGTTAATTTTTCTCTAATAAAAGCTGTTAATAGTAGTTTTCATGTTACACAAAGTACCTTCTAAGATTGAAGCTAATCTCATATGTTTGCATATCAGATAAACCCATTTATGCACTGGATACCCAAACTTGTTAAGAATATACAATAATCTTCAGTCATTTTAATTTACATGTTAGTTCTTTGGTTCTTAAAACAATACCAACACAAATTAAAATAGTGCAGACACTTTATTTTGTTTGATCAAACAATTTATTTTGTTTTTTCAAACACTTTATTTTTTGTTAGTAACAATGTTGCATTATATTGAAATACATGTAGAATCCTATCACTGAACACTAAAAATCATACACACACAAACATTTTTGATAATGTGCAATTCTATTGGAGATGCACTCCTAATAGAGCAAATATGGTATTGTATCGTGAACTTTGATAACAGCAAAATGAAATGGCTAGCAATATATACGTACTAATCATGTATAATGTGGGCAAAGTGTTTTCACTATGATTTTAGTCTTGATTGTTTTTCATAGAACCTGTTGAATCATTGAAATTAAATGAAGCTCGGCAAGTGATTACAAATGAACAAATAGAAGAGTACAATATGGCCGTACAAGAGATATTGTAAGTAGTTTGTAAGACATTTGTTTGTCTTAGTTTGGTTTTCTTGTACATGTCAACACTACCATTTCCCACCTTGTATATTTCAATGCGTGTTGTAATGTGGGTTGAACCAAAGGCAGTAGGCAAAAGTTTTTGGTACAATAGTTTTTGGTACAATAATACATGAATATTTTCTTTCTTGGCTAAAATAATTTATTAGCAACATTGTAGTCAGAAATGTAACAAAACAGTAATACACGAATTGCTGTGGTGATATGTTTTGACTTGAACTCATATGTACATTTATGTTTGTGTTTGTACTTATGTTTGAAAAACTAGAAATTGCGCCACCATTCTGTCACCTTGTTAAAATTTGTTATCTTCTGCAGAGCACCTTCAAACGTCAAGGTATGGAAATCTGCAGCTAAAGTGTCTGCAATAAACGACAGCACTGAAGATGGTTTGCATGTGAAACCAGATCTTGTGCACACAGTAAGTACCTTGAATTCAAATATTTAAAAAATTCTTATCTAATTTCAGTGTTACTAGTGTTGGTAAAGCTATAGATCTTTTCTTATCAATGTTAGATTTTCTGAGTTGTTCAATTTATTATTAAAGTGGAAGGGTCGTCACCTGCAAACACACAGGAATTGAGTCCCAAGCAACGATAACAACGCATGCTAAAAACGCAAAGGCTCATGGGTAGACGCTTGTTTGTAAACAATGACATGCTATGGCCATCTGACACATGCACAGGTGACGACTCCCCCGCTTTAAAGGGTGGTGGTATGGCCATCTGACACATGTACAGGAGACGACTCCCCCCGCTTTAAAGGGTGGTGGTTGGCGCAAAACGTGTATTCAAATTTCATGAACAAACAATGTAGAATACACCTGCTGAGTATGTCACTATGAGTCCCATATTAAACAGTACATTGCAACATTGTGATACCATGGAAGGTACTAACGGAAGGAGCCACAACGCATATCAAGTAGCCACTTAAGCCTCTTAACTGGCTTATTTCCTTTTGTTTCAACCCAAATTAATCCTGATAAGGACATTGTCTAGCTCATCTTTGATGTCGATGATAGTTTGCGATTGTTTACACAAGTAACGAGTTAGCGGAGTATGATATAACCTTGCCGATTTTGAATGTGACCATAAAATATATACGCGTTATGAAACTACGGTCATCACACATGCGCACTGGGTTTGTTTAGGTGTGAATGGTCAATTTACGTATTTCACAACCGGGAATTCAACAGATGAACGTTTGACTTCACAAATTTCACATGTTTTAATTATTAGCAACTGTAACTTTAACAAGATTCCGAGTGCATACAACAACAATTCCTAAGGACTCCTAAAAAATATTATCACAGAGAAAGTGTGGAGGCATGCTCTTCTTTCGATACTATCTTTTCTGTTGGTGTTCGCAGATGTCCGGCGGTCAAAAATTTCGACAGTTTCGAGCGCCAAACCCACGCACTGACAAAGGTACCATTGAATAATGCAATAGTCACAAGCAATCATTGATTAAGTCTCATTACCATTACAAATACAAAATTCACGATATTTCATCAGTTCTTTTTCAATCAATGTTATATCTGACAATTTTCCATTAAAGTTCGCTAAGATCTCTGGAAACAACAGCATTCAAACTAGACGCCATTTTCAATATTGTGCATGCGAGGTTCGACTATCGCTTCCGAACATGCCTCGAATATTACCGAATGCTCGAGATTAGCGTAAACCATTGTACAAAGGTGCTATAAGCCAACAAGAACAATGTTTGTGAACAAACACTGACAAACGATCATGGGGTAAAGCGAAAACAATAGCGTCGTGGCTCCTTCCGGTAGTACCTTCCATGGTGATACAAACTGTGGTTAGTTAGGTAATAGGATTTTGATAGAATATGTTCTTTTTCTTTCACATAGGATGTGCAGTTGATTATAAATTGGTATTGTAATAAACAATTCAGACCTTTTGATGGTGAATTGTACTGTTGCCAGCCCTCGGAAGAAATGACACCAATTCAGCAGCTTGTCTTTCTGTTGTTTCTCCTCAGGTAAGTGAAAATGGTTGCTTAAATCATTGACCAACCTTGACCTTTCACAGGGCACCATCACATACATAATGGTTGCTTAAATCATTGACCAACCTTGACCTTTCACAGGGCACCATCACATACATAATGGTTGCTTAAATCATTGACCAACCTTGACCTTTCACAGGGCACCATCACATACATAATGGTTGCTTAAATCATTGACCAACCTTGACCTTTCACAGGGCACCATCACATACATAATGGTTGCTTAAATCATTGACCAACCTTGACCTTTCACAGGGCACCATCACATACATAATGGTTGCTTAAATCATTGACCAACGTTGACCTTTCACAGGGCACCATCACATACATAATGGTTGCTTAAATCATTGACCAACCTTGACCTTTCACAGGGCACCATCACATACATAATGGTGCCCTTGCAGGAAGGTTATTATTCAGTAAACTACTTTAATTTTGGCAGTACTAGTTATCGATATTTTTGGGAATCTGGTATAAATTTTGTAGTCATTACAACCTCACAGTGGCTTTCGCAAAAATTTGTCAGGTCATTAAAACACAAAATTTAGAACAAGCACAAAAACACGCTCAAAGGTAGATATATTAAGTCTAGCCTATCCTCAGGGCAGACATCCGTATATACATTCGCTTGCTCAGCATTACTTCATAGTTGAGTTTGTGCTGTTTCCTTGACTTTAACCTTTTTCACCGGCTTTTCAATTGGCGTTCCATAATCATTGACGCCTATTCAAGAGTATGATGTTTATGGTGACTAGCGTGAATGGGTAAACTTTCTTTTCAACAATGAGCTGTTATCACTGTAAAAAGTATTAAATTCTTTAATGTTCAGTTTAATTTTTGAAAACAACTAATTCTTTAATTTAAAAAAAATCACACACTTTTTCCGTCAAAATAAATGCCAAGAGGCTGTACCATGAATTAGCTAAACTGTCATTTACATATTTAAATGAGCTATGTTAATTTGAACATGTTGGCACCATCCACCATCCAGCATTCTGATTTGTTAATTGACGACTTATGGAAATACATCAACTCGTGTATGAAAAAACATGATGGATAACGTGTCGTATAGTGTTTGTATTCGAAAACATTTACTTATCGTGAATTTAGTTGAATTTTATTTGCATTTCATAACAATTCAACAAATTTATTTTTTATACATTATTATAATCACTACTGAATAATTGCAACATTTCGAAAACAAGTAAATTATTCACTTGTGAAACACAGCTTGCGGTATTGCAATAGTGCCACTTTGATCATTTGCTTGTAAGCAACCCATTCATGTTTGCTTTTATTTGAAACTTCTTTTAGACTATACCGGTACTTTACAACAAAATTAAAATAAATGTATACCAACATTTTTCAATATTTTGTGACGCCTATTTTAGAACCTTATTCAGGCCTTTTTCTCTTCTCAACGCCTAAATTAGAGTGATGTCTAGATTAGAGATTTTAGAGATTAATCATCACCTCCCACCAAACACATTAGGAAACTTGCATAACTGTTTTAAAAACTGCAAAAAATAAAGTGAGCTTGATCCAACTTCCCTGTGTTTGATCTTTCGTTTGTCAGTACGGAGTCATAACTACAGAAATTAAGTATCTATTACAGAATGATGACAACTCTCTCTAATTTAAAATCAACACTCATCTTGAATGTTTGTATACATGATGGTTTTACAGTTTTGCTGGAGTGTAGTTGTGGTGGGTGATTTAGTAAAGGTCTGTCCGTCAGTCTGTATTTCAAATACAGCATTGACAGCTTGATGGACACTGTTCTAATGGCTTTCTTGTTATAACTACAGTAGAACGTTGATTATCCGTACAGTTAGGGGGACATGCTTTTTGTTTGGTTATGCAAACAGTTCGGATATGCGATCTTATGTGGCCGGGGTCAAATTTACAGGCTCGCGTACACACAAATTCTAACGTACATGACTGTAATGAAATCAAACAATAGCACATGTAGAGTACGTCATTAAAAACATTTTTATTTAATCAGTTGCAATTTAAAAAAAAATATTTGTAATAAAAATGTTGCACGCTGGAATGTTAAAAATTGTTTCAAAATGTCTGTAAAATGTAGCGATAATAAAGTCCCTTTGGTTTTTTCTTTGGAAAACCAAGTGAAGACTGATTTCTCTAAACGATCGTCATTGGCTGTTTTCATTATCTTTTGTTTCAGTTCTGCACTTGAATCCATTTTACTGGAAAAATCCAGCAGCTTTTGTTTTGCCTTGATATAGGATATCGTCAATTTACCAACACTATACTCGGTAGATAAATGCTTGCGGTTTCGTTACGTTCTAGTCAATTTATAATTGACAGCTCCGTGTCCAAATCAAGCACACTGCGTTTGCGTTTCACTGGGGTAGCCATGCCAACGCTAGATAAAAAACGCTGATAAAGTAAACAGATGAAAGGTGGCTTCGTATTCGCTGTGTAGAGATCAGCTCGATGTTACCAGATTGCTCTTGGATTTTCGAATGGTAAACTGTTGCATGATGTCCCGATTTTTTTGGATTCAGCAAAGCGTTTAACACCTAGAATGATTGACAGAATAAATTTTTGTAAAAATCCAGGTTGGCTACTGTGTTCATCGGACGTAAACAATTCGACGCTGTGAACCATCAAACGGCCCGTCAACTGTGGTCATTGGTTGCCGTTGTCTGTTGATAAACCATCAAAGAGGCACACCAAGGGGTTGTCGTTTCTTTTTCACTGCACTATTAAACTGGCGTCACTTCTGTGACAAGACTTCCCAGAAGTTATTTTCTTTCTTGTTTTATTCCGAAACTGATGTTACTTTTGATACTGGACATTAAAATTAAAAATCGGAAAAAACATGGGATCGGCTCATGGCCGCGTTTCTTTGACGGAAGTGGAACCCCGTACAGTTTTCCCAGGAAATGTATCTGAACTGCGGTGACTTACAACTTAGTAAAGTTAAGGATCTGACTGTAAACAGTGGAGAAGACATGATTTGATGAAGTTTGTGTTTTTAGGACACTTTTTATTTACAGTGGAACACTGGTGTGGCGTAATAGACTTGTCTAAATTTAGGAAATTATTTTAATCGTTTCATTGTTTGCCCAGACACTGTAAACAATGAACGTACACGTGAAAGACGTCGGATTACATGTTGATAATAGCTTTATTGAAAGTGTTGCACCAGGAAATCACATAAGACGACTGTATTATTTATTATTTATTGTTCACAGTTGACTTTTGTATTATACGGAACACAGCCAGACATGCATACAAACTTTGGGGGACACACAGTAGGTTTGGATAACTGAACATTTTGGATAATCGGTGTTCGGATAATCAACATTCTACTGTACTGATTATGTTGTTACCTGAGTTCTATGTTGCAAAGTACCAATGTCACCTACAAGATTCAATTAAATAAAAATCATGTTCAATTAATGCATTCCCTTTTTTTTTTTTAGTTTTATCTATGGACTTAATGCTAAAGTGAAACAGTGGTGGCGCAATTTCAGAGAGTACATGCGCCCAGTAACACCTTCCTCCCCAGTGATAAAAACACCCGCAGCGACATCTTCCACAACTGCCGTACATAATGGCCCACTGGGGGATGTGGAAAACGGTTCAACTCAACCAGTCAAAGTGGAGCCCGCGCCACCGCCACAACCAAGTACACCAAGCCGTGGGGAGGACTACAGTGAAATTGCATGGGCACTCGGGAAATTTGGTCTTATAATGCTTTATTTTTATATATGTGATAGGTAAGTAAATTGGAGAAACTGTAAAATGACTAATTTTCACTGGGTTTAAATTTCGCTGATTTATTATTTAGATAATGTGTTCTATCCTAATTTTTACATATTCACTGGGTTTTAATTTAGTGCATTTTCCAGTGAGCGAAATAAGCAAAATAAAAAGCCAGTGAATAATTAATCCTTTTACAGTAGGTAAGCCAGTTATTTTGTAGAGATTTTTCGCAGTCCTGTTTATGCTTTCACTGTGCCAAGACTTTCGATTTTGCATTTGTAAACTTTACTAAAATAAGAAAATAATCATCACTTCCCACCGAACACATTAGCAAACTTAAACTGGTCTTTAAGTGGGCTTGATCCATGCCTGGTTATAGTATTTGCATGCCATTATTATTCTCCATTGATCAGTTTTTTTTTTACTTTCCAGGAGCGGGTTCATACCTCGAGAACAAAAACATTTTACAAGGTTTAGGTTTTATCTTCCTTTATGCTACGTTACTTTATTGGGATTTTTTTTTAATGCAAAAACTTCACAGGTGAGTGAATTAAATAAAACATTTTTGATAATTCTGTGATGATACATGATCTGAAGGCTATGGTATTAAGTGATTTTTACATTTTACAGTTGATATCTGTACCTAAGCTTGAAATGTATGTTGTGTTGTGTTGTTATGTTTATAAATGTTTACTTTCATGTTTTTATCAAGGAGATTGTACCATGTTTTCATGAGGGAAAATTTTATCATAGTTTCGCTTTGTTTTCATCAGGGAAAGCTTGCTATACATGTAGTTTTACTACTAGTATGTCTATCAGGGAAAGCCTACCATAGTTTTGCTATGTTTTCATCAAGGAAAAATTATAGTTTCACTTTGTTTTCAGACTGTTATACTTAATCGTGATCAGACAGACGAGTGGAAAGGCTGGATGCAGCTTGTTATATTAATTTACCATATGTCTGGTGCTAGTGCAGTGAGTATTCATTTATTGTCACATGCCTACTCTACACAAGTATGATATTATTTTTGTGTTTCTCATCATTAGAAATAAATTAAAACTGTGTTAGCTAATTTGGTTTAGTTTTACATGGATTCAAACCATTTCCATCACCTCTGGAATTTCTAGAAATGCTCTTGATCCAGATTAATGTTAACTGTTTCCACACAGATATGAGTAAGGTTTTCATCATATTCAAAAAATCTATAACATGTAATACATTCTCTGTGAATACCGTATTTATCCGGGTATAAGCCCAGGGTCTTAAACATGGAAAATTGCCAAAAAGAAGGGGTGGACGTTTGCCAGGAGATCCCTGGCAAAAAAAAAGAAAATTGACAACACGCAGTTCGAACTGCAGGGGATAGAACGGCAAATAAAAACATGCAACAGAAATAAAATGAACAATATGCAACATTAGAATTAAAACAAAACTAATGTAGTGCTTATAATGTGACAAATAAACCAGAAATAATAAAAATCGACTGTGAGAAATCATTTGAATTAAGATTTTCCCACCGACAAACACGCCTGATACGCGTGAACTCAAAATGAATTAAAATGTCAGGGGTTAAACTGCGTAAAATGATTTCCGGTCTCGACAAATTACAAATGCGATGGCACACGATGCTTTTGTTTACAGTCTAGCAATCATCTTTGACCTTTATGTATCTGCTTTACTGATTGGCTAAGAATGTCATCACTACTAGTATTTCATCATAAAGGTCAAATCGTGACATTGCTTTTTTATCAGACTCGACGCTTATTAATCACGGTGAAAGTTATCATTCAGCAAGTTCCGTCAGTTGGGATGTCTCACTATATGGATATCGCGGTGGACTTGAAATAGGAAGTTTTTTTTATCCAACGACAGAAAAATAGTTTTCATGACGATGATGAAAGATGGTAAAAAAGTTGGCAGTCTTCGTCGCGACATTGCAAAATTGCTGACCCCAGTTATGGATTCGCAAGCTGCTACAAAAAAATTTTATAAAGCCAAAATAACGTGACTTCAACCACTCTCCCAGGTACGGGTTGCTACAATATTTCAACATTGGTTTCATTGTCTACGGCGCTAAAGCCGAACGAGTGTGACACTTGCTTAGTGGCTCTCCTTATACGATTTGCCTGAATCATTTCTAAGGAGCAAACGGCCGGCCATATTTAGGGCCACGACATATTTCAAAAAGAGAATTACCGTTTCTGCTTTAATATATATTTTTATAGACTTGCTGACTGTTATGATTCAGAACATGCTGCCCTGAAGGCAGAAAGCTGTCACAGCTATTTTGCGTTCACCCCTTGTTTTACGCAATTAGCAATTTTTATCACGACAGACTTCAAGAAAGTCAACTGTTAATACAACCACAGTCAACGAATAGAAAATAGTTTTTTTTTTGTGTAGAAAAAGACCCCCTGGGCGTGTTCGGATATGATCCTAACTTCTTTATTGTGTCAAAAGTGGGGGGTGGGCGTTTGTCCTGGCATGGGCTTTTACCCGGATAAGTACGGTACACAAGGATGCTGGAAACGCATATAATACAAACACTTAAGCATTTCTTTCACAGAGTTGATTGCTCATTTGTATTTCTAGATGTGCAAATTAATTTATACACATTCAAATTCTGTTGTGGATTCTTGTTTCATAAATCAATATGTAATTTGATAACTTTTTTTTTTGGTGTCAAAATATAAAATGACTTGTGTGCATGAAACCAGCAGTCAACTGTGGAACCACAGAATAGATTTATTTTAACAGGGTCTCTGTTGATAACACTATTTGTTACTTTCTTAATTATAGGAGTTACCTATTTATATGCATATTAGAATATTAGTTGCAATGTACCTGTTCCAGACGGGATACGGTCACTTCTCATTTTTCTGGAGTAAAGGAGATTATGGTTTTGTTAGATTTATTCAGGTAAGATGATGATAGTTTTATTTTATTTTTATTTTTCAGTATCAACTAATTTTTTGGGTTTTCATTTGAAGCTAAGATTAGTGTGGACAATCGCTAACCCGACAGTGTTAAAAAGTATTGTTTAATCTTTATTGCCTGATTCATGGCTTTCTAGACTGAAGAATGGTGTGCCATTATACTGTAATGCATTTCGCTATTTTCCCTGATAAGTAAAATCAATCTACGTGAACTTGTAAAATAACAATAAAACTCATTGTTCCCATGACAAATTCGTGAAATTAAAACACAATGAATATGCTCAAAATATCAAAATAGTGAAATTTGATGTCAATCAAAATAAATGGTTTTACAGTATCATCGTTAAGCTGAAGTTCTCTTGTCATGTGTGTGACACAACACTACAGTATGCTCATTGTAACCATGATACATGGTTTCTTCTGCTCTATATATTTTGGTCATTCATGAAATAAAAATAATCCAACTTAGATTTACAACATTTAAAATGCACTATGTTTAATTTAAATTGAGTAAAAAATGATTTGTTTATGTTTATTATAATAATTAACACTTAAGTGAATTTTGCTTGTAAAAGGGTAGTACTGTAAACCGCTTAATTTGCAGCACCAGGAATTCTTGCAATTTGATGATTTAATGGCATTTTGGGCATGTCCCTGACATAAAATAATTTGTTTGTTTACATAAAATGTTAAATGAATAACCATCGATTAAGTATCATTTTTGAGATGTGATGAATAGTTACATGTATCTAATTAAGCCGCTGAGTAGCACACACATTACAAATTTTATATGTTCTTGTATTACAGGCGTAATAACCGAAATATCACTTTTTTGTTTACAGGTGCAGTTTCGTTTAAATTGGTTGGTATTCATGCTCTGTCTGGTCATGAACCGACCGTACCAGTTCTATTATTTTGTACCGCTTGTAACATTTTGGTTCATTTTGGTGTACGTTACCATGGCAATATGGCCTCAAGTCTCGGCCAAATCAGTCACAGGTAGGATATTGTTGTATATTTTGTTGTTTTTATTTCAGATGTTTAATATTCGTGATTCTTATCACTGAATCAAAGTTACTTTACTTGCATATGAAGTAGAAGAAAGATGGTGAATTTTCGGTTATCAGTTGTTCTATTAGGGTCGCGGCATTAATGATTGTTACAGTTACTAATTCATTGCTGGGGAACAGGTTTCTGTCTTGACCTATTCTTAACCTTTTCATGACCAGTTCCCTCTTTTCATCACAAATTCACAATGTGGTTATAGTCTTCACTTTCCTTCAGAAGACAAAATTAACCAAATTTTTGTGTGAAAACTGATAATTTACTCAAATTTTGAATTTTCACAAATATTGAAGAATATAAAAACAAAATGCAGACAAATTTGGTCGAAAAAAGTCTGGAGTTGAAAAGGTTAAAGTTCAAAATATTCTTATTTTTTTTCAACATAAAAACAGTACTAAAATAAAATTACTAGTCTGCACATTATTAAGTGCATTTTCTCTAGTTTATATATTAATTGCTGCGTCTTGTGATAGACTTTCTGAAAATAATAATTAAACTGGACTTGTTTTTGCGGCCTCACGTCTTAACTCCAACATATCTGTAAACAGTTAAATCTTCGCAAGTTTGAAGATTTAATGGTGTTTGTGATGATAACATTTTGTAAAATTCTTGTAAAATTTTGTAAAATTCTTCTCTTGCTCAAAGTTAAAATGGCTTACACAGTATCTTTCTTTACTTGAAAATCTTTTTTTCAGAATATTTTTAAATGAGCATACTGTGAACATGAAAAATTTTCATGTAGTAGTGTCAAATTTGTTAGAGTCCTGAGAAGTGTCAGTGACCTTCGTAAAATGTTTTCTTCACGAAATTTCATAAAATTCTAAGCAGTGGAAATTAGGCATTTATTACCTTACCCGTACCATCAAAGATGGAAGGGAAAGGTATATTAAGGGAAAAATTGTGTCCGGCGTTGTCGTCGTCGTTGTCGTTGTCGTCGTTAATAATTGTTATTGTGTGCATAATAACTTTACTAATTCTATTCCAAACTTTATCAAACTTGGTCACCTTATTCATCAGTATAAAGTCTTCCCTGAGTTTGAACAACAGATGTCCTGTATGAAAATATCATGCAAAAATTGAGAAAATCTGATAAAATATTTTGACTGTTTCTACTTGACTGATCACTGGTGATACACATCAAAGGTCACTGATCTCAGTGGAAATATGCATTGTTGTATGTGTTCAATGAAGCAAATGATTTATCTTGTAATAATATCCTTGGTAATGTATCTCAAAATCCCATA